CCCTGGACAAGGGATGAAAATAGGCTAAAGGATTCTCAAAACAGCAGCTTTGCAGTCATGAAGGATGTTGTGCTCCAATAAAATGTTAAAAACCAACAATAAAACTGAGATTCGGAGGGTTCAGTGTGGATTTACTTTGTATTCACGCAGCCTGTTTCATCTCAGAGCCAGTCTTTAACCGTCCCTGCAGCTATGGACTCCTGTTTCCTAAAGGGACAGAGGCATCAGCCTTGGATTTTAAATATTCAGCAAAGACACCACTTATAGATGACTTATTTTTATTAGCCACGCTTGCAGGATGGCTCTGTTGGTTCGTTGGTCCACCGCTTTGGACTAAAGTGTCTCAACAAATATTTGATGGATTGCCATGAACTGTCCATGGTGCCCAGAGGATGAATTCTAATGGCTTTATTGATCCCGTGGACTTTTCATAACAGTTTAATACTGTGGTCTCTAATCAAATACCTGCAAAACCAGTGACATTTCCACCAACCTCATCTATACTTTGTGCTAATAAATGTTAGCATGCTACTAGGCAACCAGCTTAGCATCAGTGTGAGCTCAAAGCACCGCTGCACTGACCTGCAGACTCACAGACTGTAATGAGGATTTTAATTATTTTAAAATGTAATACCTCCTGGTTTTATTATCTTATTTGCACACATTATGATGTCTGATTTTTACTTCCTGTGAGTTTTCATTTTTGGTTTTTAGCCATCAAACTTTCTCAGACTACCTTGAGGTGAGTCCAATTTTACAAAAGCTTTGTAGGATTTTACATAAGTGCGCAAGTATCTGAAAAAAATTCTACTTTTATTTTTTTATCCACAGAACTTCACCTTGAGATTTTAGGAGTGTGTTATTGAAGGGGTGGAAGGGCTCTTTATGTAACAAGTATCAGCAGAGGACAAGGGTGCTCCTGTAACTTGCAGGAGGAGGCAGCTAGGAGTCATGATATCCAATAATAAACCCTGCAAAGTTAAGGATTTAGGGGACACACTGGTACTAAACCTGCAGGTAAAAACGGTTAAATGGTTGTCACCACAAAAATCTGTACACATAATTATATGTAAAATGCTACTGTACATTGATGCGTTGGCTCCGTGGAACTGCTAAAAGTCTAGAAAAAGCAAAAAAGAGCACATCGCAGCATCATTAAAGCCTAACAGAGGTGGCACAGAAGGCCGGCATCCACGCAAGCTGGAGTATGGAGAACAGTAGGCCCTTGTGCTCCCTGCATTCTTGTTCACAGTAACTTTACACCACTCAGCTGTTCCTCCGAGTCCACGTCATCTCCCCGGAGCTGAAGACAGGTCTCTCATGGACAGGCGTCCTTGGACACACAGATTCCTGCCTGTATTATAGACAAGATGAAGAATGAGAATACACCCCCTTTACACTCCCTCAGTCTATGACGTGAGTTAGTGTTGAGTACTGCTCCAAGTTGTATAAAGTTCTTGTTGATGAAAATGATCTGTATCAATGGTACACTCCCTGATATTTACTTTGTATTGGCTCTTACCCACAAATCTAAGTTAACTTTCACAACTGCACATTTAACAGTGTTTTTAACATAGTGATCTTTAAGTTTATAGCTTATTTTTCCTGCAAATGTTTGGAAATGTAAATATAAAACTGTAGTTTATGTAATTGCCACTCATTTTTTTTATTATAAATGTACAATAACACATTTAAATAAACAAGTCTTGTGGTCCTCTCAGCTCCTTAAGGCAAACACTTTGGGAACCACTGATTTAATGAGAAAGAATCTCAGCTCAGTGTTTTTATTCTTTTTGTTTACTTTATGATTATGTTTTAGTTGGATGAAGCAAGTGTTACCAGTCACTGACTTATTGTTCATTAAGAACTGACTTAAAGCTGCAGAAACAAACTAATCTAAACAAGAACAAACTATTAATTCCTGTTAAATCTGATCATCTCACCGGCAAGTGAGTGAAATAATGTATCACACTGTTATCGGCAGGAAGAAATAGATCACTTTAAATCATCTTCAAGCTGTAGTTCACTATTCCAACAACAGGGGGAGACAATCATTGTGAAATGACTAAGCAGAGGAAGCAAAGTAAACCATTTTTGTCCTGATGGTGTATAAAAATCCCAAGTTAGACCTGCTTCAATATGTCTTATTTACCCTTTTACACTTCAGCTCAGCCACTGACACTTCAGTCCCCTTAAAGAGAGAAAAATGAACATGGCATTTCTTTTGGGTCAAATGTGTCGAACAGAAAGATTGGCGGGAAGGAAGCAGAAAAAGGAAATACAAGTACAAGAGTTTCAAACAAACCACATCAATGTGCGCACAGAATCGCCTGTGCTCGGTGTGACAAAGTGCCGTCGCTCACTCCTGTGTGGTGCAACTTTTCTCTGTATGGTGGAGGATGTGGTGAACTTACTAGCATGCCTCCTATGTCACCATACAGAAGATGCAACAGCTGTGTGTGCGTGTGCATGTGTGTGTGTGTGTGTGTGTGTGTGTGTGTGTGCATTCAGAAAGGCTTCTTGCTGTGCAGCGTGCATAATGCATAGGTTGTGGTTATATGTGGAGCACAGAGCTGGCTCTGCGCAAGTTTCTGCGAAAGCAGGCGCTCAGAGGAAGCGAAGGGAGAGGGATGTGGCACAGGTGAGAGAGTACAGTGGTTCCTGTGGTCTCTTTCTCTTTCTCTCTCTCTTTCTCCTCTGCTGTGAATGGAGCACCTGGATGACTGGTGTGTCAACAGCGAGGGCCAGAAATCTTTACACACACACATACAGTGACTCTCAACAAGGTCAAAGAAGGTAAAACCAGGTTACATGAGTCATAGGCCGCACGCTGACATCCTTTAAAGCCCTGGTCTAAAATAAAACACAGTTCTATCTCCTCACAGGTTGAATGTGTGTGTGTGACTGCTGTTCAACTACAGAGAGATTTTCTTCTCCATCATATTGTGTCACGTGAGTCTGTCTGTCAGAGGCCTGAGGAGGTAAAACTTAACAGTATTTCACAGACAAAAGAGAAAAGTTATAAAGAATGTAAATTTGAGCAGCAGCTCAACATTTTCCTTCTTTCCTTTTCCATTAAGGATCTTGTGACCCTTCGAATTCATCTAATGACCCCCTTCAGGAATCCCATCCACATGTTGGCAACCATTGTTTTGTCAGATCTGTTTTAATACTATAATAGTATTAACTTAATAATTATCCCTCCTCTTCATTTAGGCCACTGATGTATTTACTCTATAAGAGGTGGAGGACAAAATCCACAACCTTCAGACGAAATTTTTTTTTGAATATTCAGTGAAAGTTAATATGAAGTGTCAGTAGTCTGAGTTAGTTAAGATATCATCTGTTACAAGCCCTCCAACCATTTCTCAGTAAGGAAATACAGTCAGGGGGAAAGTAGGAAAAGGTTGTTTTAAAAAAACTGAATTCAAAAGATTTGATTTGACTAACTAAAATTGCTTCAAGTTTTAAGTTGAACTTTTGCATTAACATGGGAATGCGGCTTTAGTGCGTTCATGTTAGGAAGGGATCACTTCACAGCCAGCATGGAGAGGAGGAATGATTACACCCACTAATCACTCTTTCAATGCACTCAGAAGCATTATAGAATTCAATTATTAATCATTAAGATAAGACTTGAAGATAGACTCTTTAGTGGCTCTATTATTGATGACTGTGTCTTGGCTGCAGAATACAAAAAAAATTCAATATACAATACAGTTAATGATACATTCTCAGAAAAGTGTTGGTGTAGTTGTTGAGCTTAAAGACATTTCTTATAAACTTTATAGAATTTATGCTGTCAAAAGTTGTTCTGTCTATAAGGATTTCCAGTGGACAAAAACAACCTTAAAGTTAATTAAAAACAATGCTATCCTATTTATTTTTCATGATCATACAGACAATGAAACATGATTCAGTATCAAACCTAATAATTTTATTCATTAAACTAAATAGTCAGCAAGCAAACTGTTATTTGTTAAAGGTATTATTGAAATTAATATATATATGTATGTATGTAGGTTGAGACTGTTTTGTGGTGATTTTTATTTATTTTACACGAGACATTCAAAATCTATAAGGGCCACTCAAGGGTCGGCAACCAATCTCCTCCTCCTCTTACATACAATATGTGGCTGTAAATGCGCTTAAGACAAGAGAGCTCGCACTGACGTCACGTTAAAAGGTAAATGGGCGAGCCTTGTGCGAGCATTATGTGGGTGAGTGGGCAGCAGCTCGGCAGACAAAGTGCTTTTCTTTATCACTGCTAAACGTTCAACCTCAGAGGCCTCTGCATCACGGCAGATGTGAGTGTGTGTGTGTGTGTGTGTTCATCCTCACAACCATCAGGCATCATGAGGGCGAGGATAAAAGGCTGCTCTTCTTTTACAATTAAAAATTATGCAATATCATCAGTAGGGAACGGTTTTCTTAGAAGGCTGATTTTACAATATGAATAGATTGGAACATCTTTTATCTACTTCACAAATATTTGTTTTGTGTTGTTGGGTTGTTTTGTTTTATGTACGATGGGGAGTTTTTATGTTTTATGCACCAGCTCACCTCAAATTGCTGCTTGAGAGACAAATAAAATATCTTTAACTTTGAAAAAATGTACATGCAAAAAGATCAAACTATTTACTAGACTGTATTTTAAAAGAGTAGTTTCCTGATGAAGAGTTATAAGAGAAGATCTCTTACTGTGGTATCTTCTCATAACTCGCGATTTCCCCCAAAATGTAAAATTTTTGCTTTAAGATATTCCTTCTAGAAAGCACAGTTGTGGGTACTAGTTTAAAGTAAAGTGTTGTTTCGTGTCATTTAATTGTGCAGAACCACGAGGCCTCATATGACTGTCGGCTCGCTGTTGACGAGACAAAAAGTCAGGGGTTAATCTCTTTGTTTACAAATAATAAAACTGAACTGTCTGATTATGTGCCATTAATAAATATGGATGAATGAAGGAAGAGCAGACATAAACAAACACAGGGATATTCATATTGGGTTTAAACCAGTTTTAATTAACCCTGATTACAGCTTAATTACAAGTTTGGAAAAAAAAAAAAAAAAACACGAAAGAAGTGGAGAAATTCAATGTGTTACATCATGGTATTAACTCTCATCTCTCCATCTGAGTGTTATGTAACTGCTCGGGGGAGACGAGGCGAAAGAAGAGAGACTGAAAGAGGGAGAAGATAGACCTTTACACAGTCAAACAATACACATCTTTTTTCTTCTTTTAAAATGATACAACCCCCCCTTCCCCCAAAAAAAGAAAAAATATACAAGAGCAAGAGAGAGAAAAAAGTAACATTATAAAATAAAAATTACAATACAATGACAAAAAAGATAAAATCACTCCCCCACTGCGCCTAAATAAAATCCTCCGCCGCTGCCCTTCCCGCTCAGTCCCCGATGTTATTTCTCTGTCAGCATCAAAATTAATATTACACATTTTAGTTATATTACATTTGTAAAAACTAAAGACAAGAAAAAGGTCTCTGATTTGGGGGCTTGAAGGTTTGAAACAGGGAATGGAGTTTGGGGGGGGGGGGGGTTTCAACTTCATCCAAAGTGATGTACACAACATAAAAAGCAACAGCTAACAGAGCCATGGAATAATAATAATGCCAGGTGGAGAGGTAAATAACCCAATGAGAACAATAACAACAACAACAATAATCAATAGCAATATCGACATCAGAAAAATAAACTGAGAAACTTTTATTCTTTTGATAGAGAAATGTAATCTTTGTGCTGTTTATCTACCGTTCTTTGACTGTAGAGGCCTGAAACAGGATGAGAGAGAGCCTGTGTTACAATCAGAGTTCAATCAATCTTTTTACCCTGCAATACCATGACCGAGTCAGATCATGCCACGGTTAGCAGGAAGTCAGACAACGCCTGAAACAGAGTGAGGAAAAATGAAACAGAAAGAAGAGAGAGAGAGTGCAGAGCAGGTAAGGCTGATGCCTCATCTGTTGCTGAGATATGACAAGTAGTAGTAAGGCAGCTGTCAGTTCAAATACATACACAGGACTTGGTGTGTGTGTGTGTGTGTGTGTGTGTGTGTGTGTGTGTGTGTGTGTGTGTGTGTGTGTGCATGTTGTGACATGCTCCAGTCCAGACCACAGGGGTCTGATGAGGAAATTCAATCAGCTCAGCTACTCAGACCGCCTGGAGGCCATCTATCTCACAGTCCGCTGCTATAGATCCGTCTTGTCGCTGGCCAGGCAGGAACAGGCGGCTGGTCAACGCGGCTCCGTTAACCAATCGGACGAACTGGCCGCAGAGACAAGAAAAGCTCCAGGATGTTGAAACGTTTGTGTGTATGTGTGAATGTGCATAGTTTGAGGAGAGGGCCTTTCAGGACAGAGGCCTCACATGTCCGACTTTTCTTACAGTAATGATTAACCCCCTCTCTCTCCCTTGCCCCAATCCAGAGCTGCTGTGAACTTTTGAGCATTATGCTAACTGGCAGAGAAGACAGGATTACCACTTCACTAATAACCCATGAGCTAATCACACACACACACACACACACACACACACACACACACACACACACACACACACACACACACACACACACACACACACACACACACACACACACACACACACACACACACACACACACACACACACACACACACACACACACACACACACACACACACACACACACACACACCGAGGGCCTGGAGAGGTGGCCTGGGGCCAGGAGTGCTCAGGCCGGGGAGAACCCCACTGAGCTGAGCTAGACTGTACAGAGCAGAGTGCTGCGTGCTAAAAGGGCAAAGCTACTGCCAATGAAGTGAACAGCAGTGAACCACACATCTGAATCATTAGCAGTCTGTTCGAGTCCTGTTTGTTTTTTTTTTTTTTTTTTTCCTCTCTCGCTGGTCTTGTTCTGGTAAGTCTGGCCTGTGCTGTTTTTCTCTGGCTTGTCTATGAAACAAATGTACAACAGAAACCCGGACCCCATCCCCTCATCATTCTGCCCACCCGCCCCTCCGTATCACATTACCTAGTGAGTGGCATGACGCGTCTTTACCACTCAAAATAATCCACTTACAAAAAAATCCTGAATCAATCATATCATTAAAATGCTATGGTTCTTTTAAAATCTCACTTTTTTTAATAATTTCATTTAGAATATATAAAGATATAGTCTGTATGTGTGTTATTAGAGCTCAGTTTGCACTTTTATACATGCTATAAAAACAAGGCATAGAGAGGCAGTGTGTGTGTGTGTGTGTGTGTGTGTGTGTGTGTGTGTGTGTGTGTGTGTGTGTGTGTGTGTGTGTGTATATGTATGTATGTGTGAGGTCTATGATGTTCCCTGCTCTCTCTCAGGCTCCCACACTCATGTAGTTAACAGGCCTGGCAGTCTCACACACTCTCAGGACCTGAGGATGACGCCACCACAGGGAGAGCTGGTGGTCCAGACACACAGCGAGAGAGAGGGATGTTTAAAAGCTAAAGGCAGTGTTGTGTGTGTGTGTGTGTGTGTGTGTGTGTGTGTGTGTGTGTGTGTGTGTGTGTGTGTGTGTGTGTGTGTGTGTGTGTGTGTGTGTGTCTTTGCTGGTTTATTTTAACACTATCTATGATTGTTAGAGGAGCTTTAGCTGGTGAACTAGGATTCTGTGCTGCTGGGACTTGAGAGAAACTATTTTCAGTATACAAGCCATGTTAGGTGAGGTGAGAAGGCTAGTTAACGGTTACTGGAACCCCTCAAACCTTCCTTCCCCTGCTGCTTTCCCCTCTTGGTCCCCCTCAGCAGTCCTTCCTCTACAATGAAGTACTTCTTCATTCTTCTCTTTTTCCTCTCCTCACATCTCCCTGGGGTTAAAATTATTTCTGTGAGTGGAGTCATGATCTTTCCACAGGTGGTCCGCAAGAGAAAGAGGGGGCAGGACAGGAGAGAGACAGAAGGAAGGTTATACAAAAGTCAAAAGCTCTGAGAGAACAGTGTGCCAGAGTCAAAGTCCGTGTAAATGTGGATGTGTGAGTCTTTGCGTTGCAGTGAACATTGTTAGGTGTCCATAAGCAATGCTTCCAATGTGAGTCCCCTTCGCTGATGGCTGTTTTTGTCTTGTTTTTTTCTTTTGCTTGTGTGTGTTTTTGTGCATGATTCCAATAAAACATACAGCAATAGGCTTCCCTGAGTGGAGTGGGCCAGGTTTAAGAATCAGTCAGACAACACCCAACAGCCCCACTCTTCAGTCTTGAAGACACACTCCCCTCCCTCCCACCGTGATTTTTCAGTATCTGCCAAAATTTACAAGGGTTTCACGAGTTAAATGATTACTCATAGCAGTCCACTCCACCTCCTTTGCTCTCTTCCGTGTCACTCCAGGGCTGTGGGTTTCAGATACAGGCACTTATCAACGTCCCGTCAGCTTATAGGAAAAGTAGCATAGGGGAGGGTGTGCACATCGTCATCCAAGGTGTGTTACTGGGCTGTAAGGGAGTTTGTGTCCCCTGAGGAAAGTGCTGACTGGCTGCTGATTCTACTGATGGGGCCTGAAGGCGGGAGCTGTGCTACTGGGGCAGGGCATCTGGAGGTTCACTGGCCAGGTGGGAGGTGAACTTGGGAGTCAAGTTTCATAAGGGAGCCTCCCTCTGATTTCAGCCTTGTTACAGTCACTGTGCCTGGGATGGCTGAGTCGGAGTGAGTCCCACCTCCCCAAGGATGAGTCCCAGAAGAGCCCTGATCCAGACAGAGGATTGATGGGGGATCTGACAGAACACGAGTCAGACTGTCTCTGAGGTGTTTTATATGTGTGTATGTTGGACTGTGCTCTCAGTTCACTGGAGGTTTCAGGAATCTAGTTTGTCAGTGAAGGAGAGGGATTAAAGAGGAACCATTTACATACTCCTGTGCCACCTCCAGTGCTAGTGGAGCAGTAGTGTTTGGGCTGCGTCTCTCATCAGCAGTCTTTGTTCTCCAGAGACAGCTGTGCAGTGGCACGATGCAGCTCAGCGCTCACCCTCAACGGTGTGGCTAAAGAGCCCTCGTACGCCAATGGGGGAGGGCTGTCCCCTTCTCCACTGCCTGTCCCGTCCTCTTCCATCTCCATCCGCCCATTACTCTGCCTCTCTCTTTCCCTCTCCTCCTCTGGTCGTACTTTCTTGTCGTCAGACTCCTCCTGTGAGGCCTCCATGCGCTGGTCTTCGCTCCAGCGCCTCTTAAAGCGCAGCTTGAGGGGGATGCACTTTGTCTGAGGAGATCCCGCCGAGCCCGTCTGAGGTGGGGGGGTGTTACTGTCCCCTGGTTCGGTGGGTTCACTCTTGAGGGTAGCCAGCCCACGATGCACATTGGAGTGTATGTGCTGTGAGGTGAAGAAGGGCATCAGGCCAGGTGGAGGTGGAGCAGGGGCTTTAAAGACATCCTCGTCCAGGTCTTCATCAGGATGGTGTTGATGTTGGGGGGCAGCTGTGCCGTTAGCAAGGCGGTGATGGTGGTGGTTAGGGGGTCTGGAGTGGCGAGGAGAGAACAGCTCAAATTCCTCATCTCTCTCATCTGGATCCTCGTCACTAATGTCAGTCACCTCCACCTCTTCCTCTGACTCGATGTCAGAGATGGGCTCAACCTGGGAAATGGGATAAAAACAGGAACAGAGACAAAGATGAAGAATGAATTAGTATTTTAGTTCAGCAATGTTTTACGACAGTGAATAACATATAAGACCATCAATTATTCAAAATTTTGCTTCATTAAAAACAAATTTGCTTTAAGACAATGTCTGACAATGAAGTGTACAGATTAAATTCACAAGTGTAATTTTTTAAAGGACCAGTGTGTATAATTTAGTAGTATCTAAAGTTGTGTGGTGAAGTTACAGATTTCAACTAACTAAATACCGCTTGCCTTCCAAGCATGTTAAGAGATACTACAGTTTAACATGGCAAACTCTGTAGAAGAGGACCCACTCAGTATACATAAATTAAAACGTACTTATGAATATTATATTCCATTTCTGCCAATTGATCTTCCTTAATGTTACACACTGGACCTTTAAGACTTATGATCCTGCACACATTTTCCCTGTATAAAAGAGATTCCTGCATAATCACACAAGGGGGGGGTCTATGTATCTCACCTTTATCTTGGGAAGTCCTGCACTGTTTAGGGACTGCGTTGAGGAGGAGGCAGAGATGAGGCCTGAGCCGCTGGCTGAGCTCAGGTCACTACCAAATGACAGCGAGGATCCCAGGCCAGAGGTAGAAGACATGGACCCAGATCCTGAACCTGAGGACATGGAGCTCTGCCTGGGTTTACTCTGGCTTTGACTGTCCCTGTGCTTCCTGCCCGGTGGTGGTGGCTGCAGCTTGAACTTGAAGGGAGACATGTGTGGAGGCTCTTCACCCAGGTGGAGTGGGTGATGCATGGGATGAGAATGGGGGTGAGGGTGGGCAGAGTGAGGTGGATGCGGGTGGTGGTGGGCGGAGTGAGCAAGAGATGGATGGTGATGCCGCTCGCCGCCCCTCTCTCCTCCCCCTGCTGTCGCTGCTCTTTCTGCCCTCTCACCTCTCTCTCCGGTCAGACCGGCCTTGTCTGCAGCGGGCCGGTGTGGCTGAGGGATGACGATGTTGGGGTACTGGAGGAAAGCTCTGGGGCTGAGGCCGTAGTTGTATACTGACTGAGTGTGGGCCTGCAGGTAGCGCTTCATGTCCTCTGGGTTGAAGGAGAAGTGGGAGCCTAACATGGGGGAAAGGGTGGGTGAAGGAGTGTAAGGAAGGTGAGATGTCGGGGTCATGGAGAGTGCTGGGGACAGAGGAGGGGCTAAGAGGCCAGCTCCTCCTGGTCCTGGCAGAGGGGACACAGGGAAGGGCGACAGGGAGTCTGGGTGGATCCGGTGGCCTGTGGGGCCGCGGGAGCCTGGGTGCCCAGCGGGGTTACCTGGTCCTCCATACATACGGAACAGGGTTTCATGAGACAGACGGGGGTGGATGATACTTCGATAACCTCCTCCTCCACCACCAGGTCCTCCTCCTCCTCCACTCACACCCCTCTCTCCCCTCTCCTCTCCTGCTCCTGCGTTGCCCTCTTCAATCTCAGAATTGACAGAGGTGCCATCACTGCAATCGCTGACGGAGCCACGGGCCATTCGTCGGGCCACCGAGCTGAACATGCCACCAGGGCTGCGCAGGTCCTCGTTGGGGGAGAGGACTTCGGAGGGAGTTGAAGGAGGAAAGCGGAAGTGGGTCCCTGCACCGGTGGGGACAGGAGGGGCGCTCTGAGGAACGCTGCTTCCTAGAGATGTCAAGGGAGGGAGGGAGGGGGGAGGGAGGGAGAGAAAAAAGAGAAGGAGAATACTGAGAAAAATAATATACAATGTTCTGCTGTGTAATCCTATATAATCACGCTATCCTATTGTGGGATTAGGAGATATCTGAACATGCGCAGGCACGCACGCACACACACGCACGCACATGCACACACACACACACACACATGCACACACACACACACACACACACACACACACTGTCCAGGCTTACCAGTGGAGCCCATATCGATGAAGGGGTAGTTGACCAAAACCAGTTTATTGAAGTTGAACTTATAGGTGAACCTCTTGCCTTTGGTCTTATGGAGGATCCTCTTGTTGTAGTAGTATCTGGTAAAAAAGAGAAAAGCAGACATGGTGAATAATAAATATATCAAGAGTGGACACTAGCTAGCTCACACATGCCTAATGAATGTAAAGACAAATGTAAAGACATATCAGGGTTAAATAACTGACAGCATATTATCTTATGTAATGATTTTAACAACACTGACACCTTTAATTTAAAATGGACACCTCATTTTACAATATTATTTTGATCCTGCAGTCATTGAGACCATGACAGATGTGCCTGCACACTCAAGCACACACTTTAATAAGCATGAGTCTTTCATGTTGCCCCCCCCACCCCCGTTCTAATGATAGATATTACAGAGTGTTGTATGACATTTGCACAAAGCAGACCCAGTAAGTGAGGGCGCAGGAGGAAGAGGAGGGAGAAAGGGTATGAAAAAGAGAGAAAACAGACAGATGAGAGGCAGTGGATGGACTGAGCTGTGGATCAGCAGTGTGAAGGGATAAACAGACAATTAAGAGATCAGAGGTCAATGTATGCAGCACTGATACTGACTGTGGATGTAAATGGATTGTAAGGGCACATGTGTGAGCAGATGCATGATACAGTTCAGTGTCACACAACAACACATGCTGTTATTCATTTTTGCTAGATGGACATATCTCTTTATGTAACACCAAAGCAAAGCCACCAATAATTCCCCCCATCTTTATCTGTTTATGTAATGGCCATTCTCTCAGTTTTTTTTTTTTCCCAAGCTTTCTCTCTCTCCAATGGCTCCTGCCTACAGTACAAGGCTCCATTTTTATTAACCTTTGTCCGGCTACAGCTCTTTATGTAACATCTCTCCGCTTTCTTACCCAGATCCACATCCACTTTATGTAACCTCTAGATCCCTGGCTGCCACACGCTGAGGGAGACAGAGCGAAGGAAAGAGGAAGATATAAAGAGCAAGAAAGGAACAAAGATGGTGTGTGTTTGTCCGTCGGGGAGATAACAAGCTTGTGTGCCATGCTCACCAAAAACTACCACCTTTCCTTTCAACACTACGCCTTGCTATTAAACACAAGATTTAACCAGACTGCACATTTACTCATTGTGTCTGCATGCCTACCTGCTTTTAAAAGCACTAGGCTCGGCTTTCCCTTCCTCCAGCATGTGTCTGCTGGCACAAGTTAAGTGAAGTGTGCTCACAAAGATAGGGGCTTCAGGGTATGTAGGTAATGCTGAGTTAATCAGAGCCCATTGACTATCATTACACTGAATGGTAGTTATCCAGACGGCTGTGTGTGTGTGTGTGTGTGTGTGTGTGTGTGTGTGTGTGTGTGTGTCTGTTTGGTGGTGGGGAGGTGTCGCCCTTCACCCCCTCTTATTATGCTTATTACACAGACTGGTTGGGCCGTTTGTGCTCTGGGAACAGACTGTTGCTCTTTTTCAATCTTCAACCCTCCTCCTCCTCCTCCTCTTCTCCCTTTATCCTACTGATACCTCGCTCTCTTTTTCTCATCAATCCACCTCCCCCCCTCTTTATCCCAACTCTCTCCCTGCGCTCCCTCCACTCATCCCCTGAGGCGATGGGAGAGGGTGAGAGAGAGACGGAGAGAGACAGGACAGGCCTGCACTGTAAACATTGTTTACGCCAGGCACAAAGCAGCATGTAATTTTTGCTCTAGGGGAGACTCACAAGGGCCTGGAAGGAGGGGAGAGAAACAGTTGGGAGCGAGGGGACGGATAGAGACAGGCAGGAAATCAAGCAGAATTAAAACCACAACAGGACTGTGATCGAATTAGTTGATGATAGAAAAGTCAGCAGGCTGTGCTAGGGCCCACATATGGGTCCAATATAAATACGGATTGCAAGGTTGGAAAACAAACAAACGTTTCTCAGAGCAATTTATTTTTACAGCATCATTCCAACTGGAGCAAATTTCATGACATACTGCATTTAATCAACTTCTGAAATACCACACTTACTAAAACATGATACAAGTTAGATATGAGTTTATCAGGTAAACCTATATAAAAGTAGGGCAGCCAAAGAGTGAAAAACCACTCGAAGTTAAGAAATTGTGCGACATCGCCTCCGCCACTTCTCACTCGTCACCCTTTTCCTACAATTTACTATTTGACTTAGTGCGAAGGAGCATGTTGTTTTTGTTTCCATCTGTAAGCTTTGAGGCAGAGGATATATGAAAGAGACTAAAATAATGATCTTCTCCACAGACACTCATCCACGCGAGGTAAAGACTAAACTTCCTCTCCCACCACGGCATCATTGGCATAAAGGTTCACATTTTAAACTTCTCCTTTTTTTTTGCGTTGTCGGTCAATCTTTGTATTCTGTAGAAAGTCACGGCTGAACTGCTCAGTGGATCCTTACCATTATAAAACAGCCTTGTTAACATAAAGTCTGTCTCCATTAATTTAATTGAGATGGACAAAACATCATAAATACTTTTCACTATTCATCAGCACCACAGACCATAGCCTCCAAAATGACCATGAAGCTGAATCAATGTCTCTCTAAAACAGTTTCAACAAAAACGGAATATCATAACCTTCATGACGGTACGATTCATTAAGGGATGTGCACTAGACTGCATTAGTTTTAGCAAGGTGTACCTAATAAAGTGAGTGTATAATTAGCATACATATGGACGAATCCCAAAGCCCAGTATTTTTCACTGTGCTGAAACTGTCTGACCCTGGCTCACTGCAGTCTGATAGTAGGGAGTGAAGCCAACTAAAATTGTGTATGCGGTCGGCTGCACTCACACATGCAGCTAATACAAAGAATGCTCAAATTAATAGTTGGAAGCAGACAACAACTTTGCGTAATCCTAGCCGCGGCAACTGAAGCTGTGTTTAGAGCACATGGTCACCCATTCTCCCCCCCCCTCCCGCGCCGTCATACGGGCAGACAGTCTTTGAAGAGCATTTGAACTCACTTCAAAAGAGAAGAAAGAGATTCTTTGAGTGCCTGTGTTTAGCTGCCCACCGCACTCGCCTTACACACACACACACACACACACACACACGCACACACCTCTCCCATATCCTGACTCGATAACTGCCATCTCATTCAGGCATACTCAAACACATGGGTGCTCCCACACACCCCCAGAACGTATCATCCAGGAGATTCAGCCTTATCCTGCTCCCTGTTTAACCAAAAGAGTAGATTGAACAATCAATGCAAGTATGGATTTAGGCAAAGCCTTCAGGGAATCAGAGGGAAGGCTTTCTATCAACTCAGTTGTTACTGTCTGTGATTCTAGGCCAGGGATTAAGGCTGCGATTACACAGACCTGCTGTGGTCCAAAACAATATGATCAAAGCAGAGAGAGCGAGTGAGGCAGAGAGAGCGAGAGAGTGAGACGCACCAGAATGCAGGAATGAACAGACATTTCTAAACAGCACTTTAACCAGAAGTTTTGAAGCTGTTTACAGGGAAATACTGTTATTATCATTATTATTATTGTTTACCATTGTGTTATTTGACATGCTCTTCTTATACTAATACAATAACTGAGTTTTTGATTTCTTACTTAATTTGATTATTATAAAAAAAGCTTTCATCCCCCTAAATCTTTCCACTTGTTTATTTAACAAGACAAACTAGAGTATTACAAACATACAAGAACTTAATAAAATAAAAAGTAACACAAAATAAAACAGTGGAAAAGTTATGACTCAAAGGAAAACTACTGTTTAGTACAACTTTAATTTAAAAAAGTTGCTCATAGCTCTGTCCAACGGTTGGTTGTTGTACATTGTACCCATCAAGTAAAACATGGCAATGTCGCTAAAAATAGGTCCAACAGGGCACCATGAATGAGCGGTCAGACTATCATTCAGGTTTCAAATAAGTTTGGCTTTGTTTACAAACTATACAGCTGTCTGACCGCTCAATTGTTGCCCCGTTTTACTTTTAGAGATGACGGCGTTTTCTGCTATGGACAAGTTTTTAGTATTACCCTATAATATGATATGTGTATAAATGCAATAATCTATTTCAGACACACACACACACACACACACACACACACACACACACACACACACACACACACACACACACACACACACACACACACACACACACACACACACACACACACACACACACACACACACACACACGTCAACACTAAAAAATGAAGTAAACCAATCCGTTTGTGTGTGCGTGGACAGGCTGTGCCTTGCCCATTGTTGGGCTGTAAATAGGCGCTGACTGTGACAGGAAGTTGGGATTACAATACTCCCCATGAGCCCCGTGTTTATTTTCTGCCTCTTTCGTCAGCATTGGCTGTTACACACACATCCCAGCCAGATCCTTCTCTACACACATGCACACACACACCAGCTGCTCACACTCAGGTTGTGTGTGTGTGTGTGTGTGTGTGTGTGTGTGTGTGTGTGTGTTTACAAGTTACACATTTTAGACAGTGCTTTGTGTAGATGCCAAATTTGATGAGTGTTTACTGTCTCAAAAAGGAAATTAAATGCGTTTATCTTGGGGTGTGGGCTGAGTTGGGGGTATGATAAGTCATGGTGTCATATGCTCTTTGTATGTGTGTTTGTGTGTGAAGAGGAGGATCTGGTCAGGGTCCGATTAGGCCGGTCACATGCTCTGTGGGTGCAAATATGTACTCGAGCACACTCTGGTGTGTGTGCATTCCACCCTCATAGAAATAAAGGCCTCATTCAGCCAGGGACAATGACATACACACAACGCTCATGTACACTGAACACATACATGCTGCAGATAGAGACAATGGAAAGACAATGAGCATAGGTTGAACACAAAGTCATACAGTGGTGCTGTCCCTGGGTGCTCCCTCTGCACTTTCTCTCTGGCCCTGGGTGTTTCCACACAATGCGCTGCTGGAGAGGGAGGCCTTCTGACCTACAAACAGGCCCAGCCAGCTAGGTGAGTTAACAATCTGTGCATATGCAGCAGTATTTCCTGCAGAAGATGTGGTCACTGAGGTTACTTCTAAATGCACATCAGGAAGTTTTAGTGCCACAGACTGAAAAATGCTACTGTATTTCAGAGCTTTTCCTGGAAGAAAGGAACAGCGACATTACACTTTCATACTCTACTATGGTCCCATCAATTCAGCTAACAAATAGGGTACTAGATGCATGTTCTCATGTAGTTTTAGCAAACAAAAACAAAATGTTTCTGAATTTACAGCGTCACCATACCCAGGAATCTTCATTCTATTTATGTGCTTTTCTGTGGGCAATTTTCCAGTTAAGTGAATGATGGAAATGAAGCAAACATTACAAACATGTGTGCAAGCAAGCATGCACAATAAAGAGTCCGTGTACAATGGTGCATTTGTGTATGTGAATGTGCACATGTTCTGTGTTGTTAATCTTTGCCAGCTGTACATGGCAGTCCCCCTGACCTCTGACCACTGTGTTGGAGCCAATGCGGGCTGCTGACTGAAGGACAGGGGGGCCTGCAGGTCTCTAGGAGCTGGGACCTCTTAGCATGATTACACTCATTAAGCCAGCACTCTGCAATGACTGATTGGCAACAGGCTTCATTTCCCGCTATTCTCCTCTGTGGATCAGTACAAGTCTCATTTATGAGAGCGAGACGGTGGTGCAGGGAATCAGGAGTACAGGTTTACCTATTTGTCCCACCAAATGATCCCTCGTGATCAAAATGCAGCTGAGGGTTAAAGATTGTGTACTTCCTCTCAATCATGCACCAAAGATGTCACATAGCACTGACAAATATCAAAGCACAAGGTGAGTGATTGATGATTCGAAAAAAGCTGAAATCACAGAGGATCTGACACATTCTCTTTTTACACATTTGATTCACAGTAACAAGACAGAACAAAAAACTTTTAAAAAAACAAAACAAGAAATGACAGTCAAACCTCTTTCAACGTCAAGTATGTCCACACGCACACACACACGCACACACTTGCACATAAACACGCACACGCACAGTGTGAGTGTAATCCTCTCAACATGAGTGGGAATTTCACAGCGGCCGTGGGAGCGGGAGACCAGGATGACGCATGGGCCGAGGCTGTGTCCCCTCAACGGAAAGCCAACACATACGCACACGTCCACACACACACACAATACAGCGGTCCTGATTAAGGGAATTTCCACCATGTGCATGGCAGACAGGAAAGAATAAGATCACTGAGGTAAAAATAATAATTACAAAGGCTAAGTGATAAAAGGAACACTTCAAAACAGACGTGCCTTTTCAAGTATGTGAACATATGTGTGTATGCTAATTGCCACATGATGCCTGTGGTCTCTACATCATTAGCAGGTTTTCTCCATATGAAGGGCACAAGGTGGCCTGCTCTCCAACAGTTTGCTCCATATGGGGACTGTTACCATACATGTGTGCTTGTGCCTCCTTTATAACTTCATTAATCTTTAGTGCCATTAATCCTCTTGCCACATTACTATTGATGTGAGTCTTGAGACGCTTCATTTCCAGTGTCTCTTGCAGTGAAGGACTGACGGCAGCTCTGGTGTCAAATCAGGTGACAACATGGACGTGTGTGTGTGCATGTGTGTGTTGTTCTCTTGATTGCCCTTCTCACTCTAAGCTTGACGCAACTCTGCTATATTTATAGGCACAGAGGGAGACAACTTGGCCGTAGGAGGGTGGGTGAGGACACAAGAGTGCCAGAGGGGAAACTCCTGTGTACAAAACTTGCTGATAATCAGCCTGTAAGGCCAGTCCATCAGAGGGCACTAAGACCCGCTATATATAAGCACTTACTGCAGCCTAAGCTCCAAATCTGTTACAGCTCTAGAGGATGGACAAGCTATTAATACACAGCCTGACCACAAATATCCCCATCCATATTCTTTTTCTCTTTAATTCAGGAACTCTAAATCCGGATCCCAAGTCTGGGTATGTTTGTGTATTGCATGAACACATTAGTAGTCCATGTTAATTTCCTCTGTCCCCATAGGATCCCATCTGTAACAGACGTTATCTTAATCTCACCAGTGTAAATGAGTGTACATAAACCATCCCACTCTAAATTAAGCAATTCAATGCATTTCTCTCCTTGAATGGCATATGTGGTTTTCTTTAAAGTGCTTAGCATAATCTTGGCCATGTTTAGCTATAAACAATAAGCCAGGGACATAGGAGATGCTGTGCTTACTTAAACTGGTATCAGAGTTCCCCAGGGATATGTAATGTCTGTAATACTGAACTCTAATGTGCTGAGAGGTCATTGTGTTATAGCACATATATCAGAAAATTGATTATATGTATCTTATTTTCATAATCAAACAATATTGTGACCTATGTGTCATTATGAAAGCCCAAAGCACAAACAATCTAAAAGGTCACAGAAGCAGATCTACCCACAGAAAAACTGAACCACATATTGGATACAAAGTTTAAAATAATACCCAATGTTATTCTATTTTATGTTATTCACATTATTCTAAATCTTTCAGATTATGACTGTGATGGTGAATTGTCATGTAAGTACCTGACTACCTGATACTGCATTCATCATATTTTCATGTGGTATTTATACTTGAACTTAGGGCTTAAAGTAGGCTCACAACCAAAATTGGCCCAAATCACTTGGGTAACACCCTAATGGGCTTGGCCGAGCAGGATAGGGGATGGATATAACTTTAACCAAAAGGTGTAAAGGGGTAACCAGTTAAATGGGTCAGTGTTGTAACTCTACTTGTCCAGGTCAATACCGTGCGAAGGCATGCGACCAGGGTCACTCTTGCAATAGTATGATAGACTTGGTTAAGTGCTATTAGTGCCTAGGCAAGCATGACTAATACAATGTCTGTGTGAAACGGAGCCAGAGAGTCAAAGCTGAATGAAATACTTCCAGCGGGTCATTGCCGTAACTGGAACCAACTGCCAGGGTCACAGATGGTATTCTCAATTTTGTTTCCCAAAGTTTCTTTACAATAAATATCGCCTCAGGGGTGTCTTTGTGTGTTTAAAAGTCATAGCCTCATTTACTAAACATTAGCACCGACGCTGGTTTATCTACATGTGTAAAGCAACTCACCGTATACACACATCTTTTTCGCACATGGAATCCACATTGGCCCCGGGGAAGGAGATAGTAATGTACTTTGCCTCAATATTTTAAAGAGTTCATGACCACAGATGAGGATTGGAACATATTGGAACATAGATAAACGGGTAAATTGCTTTCAGGCTCAGCACCCTCTTCACCACAACAGTCCAGTAAAAGGTTTGCTGCTGCTACACCAATCCAGATAAATCTGACTACTGCAGAGACTTCCACCTAAAGCTGCTTTTCTCCTAAATGGTACGACTCGACTCGCTCTTTTTTGGTTTTCCATTGTGGAAGCAACAACCACCTCGGTCGAGGCTTCAAGTGAGCTGAGCTGCTTCAAAAAGCTGACATGAAAACACGCAGACCACCGACTGGTCACTCCATGTAAAGGGCAACATGGGGCATCCCACACAGAACCTGCATTTTTAAATAGCAATGCTACTGTCAATAGCGACCACAATTGTTTTATTCCCTTAAAAAAAGGCAGCCCGCAAAACCACACCATGGTCAAATATCCTCTATCATAAAAGTGAGTGAGTTTTGTGATTAGTTAGTGTGTGAATGAGCATGAGAGCGGTGAATGCGAGCGGTGCAGAGGAAAAGAGAGCAGTGAAGTTGTCGATCTAAAAGTGTACAGTGTAGGTTACAGTTTGTCAGTGAATAAAGACCGCAACCTCTTTAGACCAAAGTAAAGCTCCCATGTGTGGTTGTTTCCAAACTGCTTGAATAGTGTTGCTTTGATGATCAGCTCCGCCAACATTACGGGGGTACTATCCAAAGTACTATCTACAGTGGAAAATGAAGTAGAGGCACCAAAAGTGAGTAGAATAGTCAAGTCGAGGGGTACCATGTAGTGGAAATACAGCTTTAGAGACAGCCTTTACTGCTTGACTTCCTGTCGCTCTCTCCCCTCATTTATTAGAGTAAAAAGATACACAGTCTGCTTCTTTCACAGACAGGCTTAAGAGTTCCTCAAAGTGTTCCTTCTACCACCTGACAAATATCCCTGGTCAAAGTCAGCAGTTCTCCTCCCCTGCTGAGAGAGTCGAGAGCCGATAACCAGCAGTTAGTCCACCTAGGCCCCTGCATTTGCCTACTACCCAAGTGGCACTGGTAACACATAACAACCCTACACTTCACCACAGGGGCCAACCACTCATAAGATCGTGGCTCCATATTAATTGTGTTGGGTGACCGGATCTGACAGATTACAGCGAGCTCACTCATCTGGTCTGGTTTTAGAAGGGCCCCGACCTGTTTTCCTAACCCACGTGAGCTTACTAAAGAAGCTGATTCATAAAGGCCTTTGAATCACTCTTTGTTGGCCCTTAGCCAGTCAGTGATTTTTTTTTATGTAATACATTTTATATCATAATTAATTCTCTTCCTCCTACCATTTATCTATTCAGAGTGCAGTGTGGATTTGTATTAGTGCCTTGGCTATTCTAAATAGACAATAGTGTTCTGTGTAATAGCAAGGTCTCAGTAAATTAGTCATTCAACGGGAGCGTGTGGGCTCTTTAAATTGTAGCATATGGTACATTTTTATCTGAATATACCGACCTTTAAGGTCCCACAGATCCTTATCATAATCCTGATTACAGCTGTGTGGCAAAATTAGGCTTTTTGAAATACAGCTTATCTGGTATAAATTAAAGGTCAGGAATAGGATCAGATAACTACAAATGAACACATGCACGCACGCACGCAGGCATAGAGATTCACAAACCTATTCAGCAAGTTCCTCTTTCATCTTACCTCAGTGCCCTGCTCAGCTTATCGTAGTTCATTTGGGGTTTACACTTCCTGGCCCCCCACAGCCGGGCCACTTCATCTGGGTCCTTGATGACAAACTCGCCGTAGTCCCCCTGCCAGGCGATGACGTCATGATATTCTTCTTTCCTGAGCAGCTCCAGGATGAAGTGCCACAGCTGAATCTGCCTGGACCCGGGGCTCGACTCAGGCTTGTAAGCCCAGTCTGGGAAGGCAAACCCTGCGTTAGAGAGATAAAGAGAGAGGAGGGTTAGTGTGGGCCACTGGAGCACAACGAATAACCCTGAATGATGATGTGGAGAGCACATGTTGTAATGAAAACAAAAACAAAAATGTGTTGCAAACAACAAATTCAAGTTCAAATGAACCCTCTTGCTTAGAGATAGTATCACAATTAAGAGTCAGTAGCTACAGCTGTTTCAGGTGAGTAGTCTTTTCTATGAGACAAAAGAGGATTATAGGTGTCTAGCCAAGTACAGATCACATATAACAGAGCAGCTTAGTCAAGCACATAGTGTCCTCATTCATATTTCACATAGCACATAGCTGTCTTCACTACTCACACGTCAATTCAATCTTTGAATTTTGTTTGTGGGTTATTTTCAAGCAATTTCTCTTTAACTTGAGAGTTTGACACAATGGAGAGCAAGAGGAAGGCCAGAACAAAGTAGAGACGAGAAGAGAGAGAATAAGACAATAGATCTCACAAACAATGATGTGAGACGCACTGCAACATGCTTTAACCTGCTGAATCCTAGTTTGCCCCATGACTTTAATTTTCCATCTCTTCCCATTGTCAACAAACAGGTAAAAATGTTTACATGCATCTATTTCTCTTTGTTTTAGCCCTTCGTTCAGAACAAAACAGTGTTTCTCCCTCCCCCAAAACTGCCACACAATGTATATACAGTATATAAATCTTAAATACCAGTCTTGTTGTTTCAGTGTGTACGGGGGAAACTGAGCTTTTCCAAATGATGACATAAGCCAGCCCAGTAAGGGTCGTGGGGATGTGCGCCGGTAAAGTTAAACAGACAACCTTTAGTCATCGTTAAGTTCTCTAAATGTTAATTTTAAATGACAATTAGCATATCAGCTGTCATTAACCTGGATTCGTGCTGATTTTGACAGATGACGGGTGGCTGATAAAATAATGATTTTATCACTGGGGCACAGCAGCTTGAGAGTTACTGCTGGTTAATGGTATTAGTAGTTATGGGCTGTGACTAAATAACTATTTCATACTCATTTGGTTGTTAGAAACAGAACAATATGTAAATAAACTATGCTATATATTCAGCTGTCTTAAAGCTCAGGAGGAGACACAACAGAGGAGGCAGAGTAACCGACTGTGTGTGTGGCCTGGTCACAGGCGGGGGGGCTGTGTGGCAGCAACTTTCTGTCGTCTAACATTTTCTGTGATCACGCATTTTTAAATGTCATTATAGGTGATTATAAACCACAGCTGTTGTAATTAACCAGTATTTATCCTGATTTTGTCACACAACATCAGATTCATAAAATAATGATTTGGTCGGCCAGGCAGTCTATCCCACTCCTCACCAGATGTTGGCTGTGATGCAGTTATGTTTTTTGCTGAATGAAAAGAGGGACAAGAAGGATATTTGGCCATTTTTTAATGTTGTTGAGGTGTTTCACTTACAAAAATTCTGGTGTGGACGCAAATTGTTTATTAAAAAATTAAATAAAATAAAATAAAAAGGCATTTTAAAATCTAGATGGCTTAAAGCAGCCGTAGACTAAAGCTTCTGTATAAACCACATTCCTCTTCTGTCATCAGGTCACCACATCACCACAGTAGTTCTTCACAGGAAACACACACACACACACACACACACACACACACACACACACACACACACACACACACACACACACACACCACACACACACACACACACACACACACACACACACACACACACACACACACACACACACACACACACACACACACACACACACACACACACACACACACACACACAGAAACTGCACTACTGAAAGTTGTAGTGTTAGTGGGCTTCATGGAACAGTTAGGCACATGAAAAACCTTTCCACCTCTCCTCCACCTCTTTCCTCTCATGCAGTCATTCTTTCCTATGACCGGAGGAAAACAACATGGCCAGTCATCTCTCCTGTCTATCCCTCCATCTCTCTCCACCCTCTGTTCGAAGGAAACGCAGAGTAAGAGAAACAGATCGAGACTGTGGGCGTGGGTATATGACTGTTTGTATGAGCATGTGTGAGCCCAAATGTACAAGTTTGAAAGAGTTTACGTGCCAGTGCGTGTGTTTGAAAATGTTTGTGCAAGTCTCCCACTAACATTCTGTTGCCTGGGTGGTCAAGAAAATTTGACACGACCAAGGAAAATAGACTATTACAGTGTAATATTTAGCCAGATATAGCCTGGACTGGATTTTATTTTATCAACAATCATCCTCATAACACTGATAAACAAGTGAGGAGGTGGAGTTACCAAAGAGTCATTGTACAGTATCAGTCCGGCTGTTGTTATGTTTGGTGCAATGTTAAGCATCACATTACAATGAATATCCAGAAAAAATTGAGTTATCTGTCTGATGTATTACAATGCAATACAATAGCCCTTCAACAAATGCTGCTGTACAGATTTAGTCATGCCTGCTTTTTTAATTGTGTGTATGTTAACTCCATTTACACTATGTTTTAAGGCCATGATGATGCATTATTGGACTAAATTTGAGGATTATCAGAAACAAGAAACATATTTATAACAGGGCTATTACTTTACAGGGGACAGGTGTTTGTCTTTTTCTAATCAAGCGGTTTATTTTATTATTACTTCTTACTTTTGGATCTTAACTCATGTTAACTTACATAAGGTAGCATGAATCCGGTGTTTGCATTGTGTTTAACCACACCGCATGCAAATGGCAACAGAGGAAATGGGACAGGCTGGTCTGGAGATTGGGAAACAAATCATCAGATTATGGATGTGCAGGCCTGTCAATGGATTTGCTGGATGACACCCTGAGGCAGAGATAGATAGCCCTGATAATCTCTGCTGCTCCAGCCTGTTCTGACCATTTAGTCACTGTTGCATAACACTAAATAATGTTGATAGCACATCTGCCAGACATCTATGAATTTGAACATAAGTGTTGCTACAGGAGCCTTTCATCAACATGAATTAATACTTTACTGTTTTTACTTTTTATGTCTCTATGTAAGAGACCCGCGGGACTTTTACACATTTGGGCCCTTTTCGGTTTACAGTTTTGTGTTAAAAATAGGCTGAAAGGAAAGTTACCTTCCTATGTGTCTTCTTACTCATCAAACGTAGGCTACTATCTATTCCTCACCACCACTTGTTGGTGATTTTCTTCCCATCACAGTGATGTATTTGCAGGGCATGGTCAATGAATCACTCAGTTGTCCCACCTACTCAGGAGTCATTTTGCAATTGAAAATTAAAATTTCTGAATATGAAATGATGTACGAGATGCCTACACATTTTCCATCTCCAAATTCCAGACAGGATTTTATCACTGTTGAATATTATGTAGATAGTAGGTGGCTAATGAGGCAGTGAACAAACACGCTGTGCAGGCAGCTTACTTTGTTCAAACTACAGATTATTGTTCTTTACAACAAACATCACAATGTGTGAAACGACCATGGGTGTTAAAACTGCCTAAACAGTGCCGTCTGTGTCTGTAACTTTCCAGACCTGCACATGTAGGTAGAAGTTGGCATGCAAATGATAAATGAACACTCACTCACTGTCATATTATTTCCCATTTCTCTCCCCACCCTCCTCCTCTTTTCACTTTCAAACACTCAAACAAACAGTTATGGCACGATCAAACGCTGAGTGAACTACAATCACACAGGAACACACCGGGGGCAATAATAAACATACTGGCCATGCCAAGCACATAACCACACTACACACACACACACACACACACACACACACACACACACACACACACACACACACACACACACACACACACACACACACACACACACACACACACACACACACACACACACACACACACACACACACACACACACACACACACACACACTCCTACTACACAGGACAACACATTCTTTCCAGACATAAGACACTGACTGTGATTGTGTCAAGGCAAGTGATGCGCGTGTCGTGTCAAGTCAAGAGGAGGCTGGTCAAGTCCCCAATCTGGCTGAGATGAAAAAACAAGAAGTGTTGACCATATCGTGACCACTGATTCTGCAGTGTTGTTGTTGTTGATCTGGCAGCTGCTCCACTGAAGCTGCTCAGTGGCCAACAGTAGAAGATTTGTCCTGAAAGTTTTACCAGGTGTGTAACTGTCTGCATGTTAAGCAGGAGTTGCAAGCAAAGCTCATCAAACCGACACAAGATAAATATTAAATGAAAACAACATCTCACCTTTTAAGCTACTATTCCAGTTTGTGCATGTGCAAATGTGAGTCAGTGACTTTGTGCACATAGGTATGTCTGTCAAGATGCGTCTGTAATGATCTTTTTGACTTTGGCATGGACCACAGAGGTCACTATACACACATCATATTTCAAGGTCCTCGAGAGAAATGTATCCGATTTAAATAGTTAGTTAGAGGACTGGAACTGGGCTGTGTGTGAATAGAGGAAAGAGGACATCCTCTATGCAGAACAAACAACAGCGTATATCAAAGAAAACCGCATAGACAAACAGGTAAGAGTGTGGTGCACAGCTGTGTATATGTGCCTATACCTATCAGTATATGATCAGTTTAGAGAGACAGAGACAGAGAGAGAGAGAGAGAGAGAGAGAGAGAGAGAGAGAGAGAGAGAGAGAGAGAGAGAGAGAGAGAGAGAGAGAGAGAGAGAGAGAGAGAGAGAGAAGGGATTATGTTTAGAGGAATGCTGAGAGCAAGAACAGGTGTCTTTGTCCTTCCATCCATCCAGAGTCCAACCCAGGCTGAGCTGGTCTGACTCACACTGGATCAACTATCACACACACACACACACTCTGATCTGTCTCATCAGCCTTGTACACCCGATAGGAGAATTTCGGGAATCTGTGTGTGTGTGTGTGAGAGAGCGTACAATCTGTGTGAACGTGTGCGTCAGGAAGAAGATGAGAGAGAAAGAGAGGAGTAGCGGGGAAGAGCCTGCAGAGCAAGACCTAACCCCCCCTCACCACACTTAACCTCTCTGAC